TGTGACAAATGTACTGAGAATTGTCATAAAAGAGTTTTAAGCAGCTTTTAGCTCTCTGTTTCAGTTTTATGGCACTTTTCAGGCTGCTGTTTTTAGCTCTGAGAAACCCACCACACACTGCTGTTGTAGAAGAAAGTGGGACGTTGATCAGTGGACAAGCCAGATATTTTTCTCAGGAGTTGGTCGAGACCAAACCAGAGCTACAACAAGAGTGAATAGTGGCTGTCCAAAGGGGAGATCATGTTGCCGTGCGTCTCCCGACTGCATAAATAGAGAGCTGTCTGCAAACACTTTTGGCAATGGATGTCCTGAAAAAGACTCACTCTCTCTCACTGTCTGCAGGCCTCACATCTCCATGTCGGTGAGGATCAACTCCTCTGATGGTCTGGTGCTTCATGCGGCCGGCGGGCAGCGCGGTGGATCTTTCATGTCACTGAGCGTGTCCAACGGTCTCCTGCTGCTTCTGCTGGACGGAGGGAAGAGAAAGGTCAGCCTGCGCAGCCGCAAGAAGTACGACGACGAACAGTGGCACACGGTAAGATGGAGAACCAGATCAGGTCACATGACTAAGATGCACAGGAGATGTGTGAGAGAGAGAGAGAGAGAGAGAGAGACATTTAGCTTTGCTTTCTATTCTTATCTCATAATTTGATGAACAGATTTTCTAAGCTGCTCTGCCACTGCCTTGATGTCTCTTCAGGTGTTTATAAAGCGCGAGGGAGAGAAGATCAGTCTGATCGTCGACGGTATCAGCACTCAGTCTAAGAGACTCCCCGGAGGAGACAGGACTCGTCTCACCGGGCCGTTATATGTTGGAGGAGCCCCGCCCTCACTCATGGTAAAACATCCACACTACTACAGCTTTGCAGTATTTGTTATAGCACTGATAGAGCTGGTAAAGAGCTAAACATGCTTTACTTTTTGCTCTTCTGTATAGAGCTGCACCATGACTTACTCTGCAGCTGCATCAGTCACCATCTCATTATAACATCATCATAAAGAAAATAAAGTGTCTTATATGGTATTTTTTTGGTATTAAACTTGATGCACTCTGGATCTTATTCTTCATTGTTTTCAGTTAGAATTAGAGCTGCATCTAACAGTTATTTTCATCATCAGTTAATCTGCTAGGTATGTATTTGATTAATTGTTATAAATAAAAATGTTAGATAGTAGTATAAAATCTCCATTATAATCACATAGATATTCAGTTCACTATCATGTTAAGACAAAGATGAACAGCAAATTGTCACACAAAAATAATAATAATAATAATAATAATAATAAATGACTTAAAGGATTCAGTGATTGTTAAAATAGTTGTTGATTAATTTCCTGCTGATTAACTAATTGATTAATCAAGAAATTGTTGCAGCTCATTTTACTTACCAACTAATGCTATAACTACAGAGTCTAATGACACAGTGGACATGAGTTGTCAGACCATCAGACTGAAGAATTGGTTTGAGCTGATGTACTTTCTGCATTTGTACATTTTCAATAATGTGACTAAAGATTTGTGACTACGTTGGACCCATGGACACAGAATAAAGACATGAAAGCAACAACGTAGACTGCACCAGTTCTCACAGGGATTGTCTCATTTTTCTACACATGAAAACTTGCTGTCCCTCTCCCACCATCAAAATCATTTTAAAGAGGGAATAATCACATAAAAAATTTACACATAGTGACTGTAACTCAGTAAAATATTATTATAACTTATAGTAATGTAGGCCAACAACACAAATTTAAGATCCAGCTTATAAAAGAGCAGAAGTTTCCTTTAAATCGAATAAACTTATTTAAAAAAGAAAGCAAATATCTGACACTGTTCATTGTGCTATTATAAACTCTAGGCCCCAGGCTCTGGTGGTTTCATCGGTTGCGTCAGGGACCTGATACTGAACGAGGCCCCTGCAGGAAGCCCCACTTACAGTCAGGGGACGGTGTCCTGCTTCCAGAACCCACTGCAGCCCGGAGCGTACTTCTCTGGACAGGGAGGACACCTGGTGATAGGTAGTTATCATCTCTCTGTGGTTTTATTTCAGTCATGTTTTTCTTGTTTGAGTGCCTCTGTGTTCTGACTGAAGGCCCTCTCTCCCTCCCTGCAGATGAGTCCTTGGTTCTGGGTCGGGATCTTGAGATCCAGTTAGAGCTTCGACCCGTCTCGGACTCTGGGCTGCTCTTGCATGCTGGGACGTCAACTGATCAACACCTGAGTTTGGTCCTCAGACAGGGAGAGGTGAGATCACGCTAGTGAGGGTTTTAATAACAATCAGAGAGAAATACAGTGAAAATGAAGCGGAGTTTAATCTTTACTGCGGAGATCTCTCTTTGTCATTCATTAACAAAACCTAAAAGTTATTTTGTGTGTGTGTGCGCAGGTGACCGTCTCAGTCAACAGTGGCAAAGGTGAATTCTCTACCTCCTTCACTCCTGAGGAACCTCTGTGTAACGGACGCTGGCACACGATCACAGGTGGGTTTAGGTCGACATGCACTGTGACTGTGTGTCGCTGTGTCATTGCTGCGGCCTGTTGTAATGCTGTTGTGTTGTGTGTGCGCCTCCAGTGGTGAAGAAGAATAACGTTCTGCAGCTCCATGTGGATGCAGCCAGTGAGCACAGCGTCGGGCCCAAACAGAGCCGCTCTACAGGGGCCAAGGAGACCGTTTACCTTGGAGGGGTACCTGGTGAGTACACACACACACACACACACACACACACACACACACACACACACAAACACACACACACTTGCCACAATGACAAATCAAATCTGTTTTTGCTGCTGATCCCTTTGTAATTATCTTATTTTTTTTTCTAACTTGAGTCGGTGGATCTGATCTTAAATGTTCAAGTCATGATGTTGATTATGTTTATATTTTATTTATTTGCTGAGGATGTGTTCAGGCGCATTGGACTTAATGAAGCTCAGTTGTTGTATTGCCCTGATGTTTTTTGATCGGTAAAAAAAAAAAATCCTGCTCAACCCTCATTTAACACCAACTCCAAACCTTCTCCTTCAAATGTTTTATTCAAAAGAAAAAAATTTTTTTCCCCCTCAAATTATAGATTTTTCAGTAATTTTTTTTTTAATTATCATGACTTATGATTTGACTTTTTTCGTTATGATTTTATTTTCTTTTGGATTACAGCTATTGATTATTACCTATTCATTAAACCTAATTTATTTTACAATTAATCACTTAAGTTCGTCTTTAAAATAGAGGAAAATGGTGAAACATGCTCATCACAGCTCAAGGACACATTTTTAAACATTTTTTTTTAAAATCACGTTCAAAAACCAACAAGGTTTAATTTACAACAGGAAACTGAGAGAAGTAACAAACTCTGTATTAATACTGAACAATGACCTGAACAAATTCATTTTCATGTTCTCAAAATATTACTAACTAAATAACTTTGAAACTCTCAAACTCAACAGCGGCCTGAATGCAACCACATATAACACGATGTGATTCCACCACTCAGTTGTGTATTTACAGTTGCTGACACCAGTGGATGTTATGATTGGCTGGTAGGTGTTAGGTGAAGAAGACATCTGGTGGTCGTTTCCTCTTTAACACATTTCTCCTTTCTCCGTCCACCAGATGGCATCACAGTCCCCGCTCTCCCTGCCGGTCTGCCGGCGTTCCACGGCTGCGTCCGCCGAGCGACCATCAACCACCGACCCGCTATGTTGTCCAAGCCACTCGCCGTGCACGGAGCTGTGGGGACGCAGGGCTGCCCACGCATGTAAACCCAGCACACAGTCTTATCCTCACATTCCCCAACTACAAATTACTGGTGGAGGGTGTCATGTTACTGTAGCTAATTTAAAATATATATTAATATTTATTGTCTATTTTCAGAAAAATGTATATTTTATATTTTCCTGTTTGTCGTCGCAATATTACTGGTTTGTTTTTGTGCTACAGGGTGCTACAGCAGTGACAACTGTCTGCACATAGAGATGCACTGATACAAAGACTTCAACTCTAAAATCATAAATCAATTATAAAATGTGTAGTATATTGTAAATAAAGACAACACAACCTGAAATTTCTTTGCTTTTTCTAGAGATGATGAAAAATAAATTATAACTTGGATCATATTTTGTCTTTTGGTTCCAAACAACTTTCCTGAATCTGTAACACATTGCAGATTCAGGATGTATACAGCTGTGTATTGTGCATCTCTAGCAGAGAATGTTAAGGATACCTACTGAGTCGGTACACTGTGAACACTAATGTATGAGCAACGTCCTCAGGCAGCGCAGATGGACAATGTTTCCTGCAACACGGACCAGGACTGAGCTTTTGAGGAAGTCTGAATTTATGTTGTCAGTGACTTCAAAAAATGGACAAATTTAGCATTTAACACAAAATACGTTGAATACATGAATATAAAGAGGAAAAGGTGATGAAAGCAGGTTTGTAACTGGCTGTTCCAGATACTGTTTAAACTGACAATATTGTGGACAAGTCCTCTTTCTCCAACTCCATATTGGAGTTATTGTAATTACCAGTTTGAATATTATTTGTGGCAACATCCAAGTTGTAATTATGACTGATCAGCACCAATTTTTCTGAAAAACTCCATGCATCTGACTATTCAAGGTAATTAACCCCAAATTGGATTAATATTGTAAGTGAACAGTATTTGAAACATTCACATGACCAGCTCTATAATCACACAACCATCTTTAAGTGTCATGACGAAAGACTGTCCCATCTCTCTGGTCCCGTCCGGGGTGCAGGCAGCGTTTCCCTTCTCTATTCCGTCGTTAATGTAAACCTGTACCAAACGTGTGAAGCTTGTATGTTATATAACCACTTTTAAAAAATATCTCACAGAAAGAATAAGCTGTCCCTCCCCCTCACTCCCAGCCCCCCCATGTGTTGTAAATGCATTTCTAAATACATTTTTTTTTTTCATAAAAACTTCAGTCTTTGTTTCTCTTCTGTGAAAGATGAGCAACGAGTTAAGTTGTTTTCCTTTGCCAATATGATTGTTTTTTATTATGAAGAGTAAATTACAAACAGGCCTGTATGTATCAGCACTCACTCAGGCTCTTGAGTCTGCACTGTGGTGTCACAACAGAAAAACAGAAAGAAAACAAGATCAAACTTTAAGGCTTAGTCCCAACACATTAAAACTTGTTCTCTCTCCTTTCAGAGTAAAACTAATGGTCAATAGAACAAAACAGCTGCTGATGAACAGTTAGGTCAACCAGTTTACTTGTGGTCACAGTGGAAAAACTGGCCTAACTTATCTGTTTACAGCTTCATCCTGAGTAGGAGCAGAGTGTTGCCTTTGGTACAGAAAAGAGTAAGACAACGTTGGAGAGAGTGAGGTAAAGAAAAGGTAGTGAAATAGAAGAAGAAACGGAATCAATAGAGTTCACTGAGGCTCGGCAGGTTCAGCTCTAATCCAGACTCATGTCCTCGTCGTCCTCTTTCTTCTCTTTGGAGTCTCCTTTGGTGCCCTGCATGGCTCTGGCAAACGCCTCCACATCTGAAAAAGGAGACGCAGATACATATGTAAGTATATGGTAAATAATAGAAATGGAGGAGATAAGTAGAATAACTTTTTAATGGGAAGAACCAAGGTCTACACTAGATCACTAGTTTACATTTTGTGTTAGCAAGGGTAACGGCAAAACTCTAGTTTACTGGCAGGGTGTGTATGTCTCTCACCTCCTCTGTTGGCAGCGTCCACAGCCTCCGCCGGCAGACCAAACTGACTCATGAGAGGGCCGAGCTGCCCGGAGGCCAAGGCACTGCTGAACATACTCATCGACTGAAGGACAGAGGAATCACAGTCATTGGGGATTATTCAACCCTGTCTGACCTCAACAGAAAGCAATTAAACATACACATGGGCTAATGAAATGAACTGTGAGAACATGTTATATTTACGGTTGACAAAAACATAATGGAGATGACTGGTATCCAACTGCTTATGTTCCATCTCCTCGCGCTCTACCCTCACCCAATTAGCTAGAATCGGGTGTACTGAGCAAGACAAGAGCTGGTGGACACATTGGATTTAGCTAAGCAGGTGTGGGTGCAAGGTCTTCATCAGGGCATAATGAAAATACAGCTGTAAGACATTGTTTCATCTGTTAAAGTTCTACTTTTATCACAAATGTATGCTAGTGCGCAATCTACCTGCTGGAACTGAGGTGAATTGAGTGTGTTCTGGATCTCTTCGGCACTCTGTGGTAAACTCTCCCCGCTGGGGAGGAAGGGGAGGAGCCTCTGCTGGACCTCAGCATTAGTCAGGATGGGAGCCATCATCTCTGGGGTGCAAACACTCGCCAGGTCCACTAGAGAAGAAGAAGGAGGTCTTGTTGGTATTATTCATTTTGTTAAACATATTGTTGTGCCTTTGTAATGTTTTTTTAAGAATTATGTAAAGCATGGCTTTTGTGTATGACATGTTGTTCAAATACACTTGCCCTGCAGCAATTTGGGGCAGCAGACAAAGTCCAGTATCACTGCCAAACCAGGATTTACACCCTCCATTGAATCAAGCCTGACTCTGACTCTTGACTGACTTTTCCTCACCTGCTGATCCCTGAGCAGCCGTTGCTGGGACATTCATGGTGGCGAGGATGCTCTGAAGGTCACTCAGCTGGATGGGCTGGTGGGGGGCAGGGCTTCCAACAGAGGCTGGGGCCAGAGGAGTCTGAGCTGAGGCTGGAAACGAGAAGGAAAACAAAGAGGTTTTATGAGGTTTTCTGATAATACAATGCAAAGAGTAAAGGGGTTATTGAAATTGACACACTTGATACTCTTGGTTTTCATTAAGAGGCCCCATGAAATGGAATTTTTATTTTCTCTACATGTATTAGGTCACCGCAGCAAGATATCATTAAGATAGTTTTCCAAGAAGTTTCCGCTTTATGGGGTGCCAATGAAACCTATTTGAATAACTTTTCCACTAGATTCAATCAAATTTAAAAAATAATAGCACAATAGAAACCAACTAATAAATTATGATATTAATGCAACAGTGTTATTTGAATATTTGCCCTGGTTGTAGGGTAATGTAGCCAATGAAGATTTGTTTTCTTTCCCTTAGTTATACTTGAACCAAGACAGCAGTGCTTCAAAAACAAAAACATAACACATGAAAGCAGTTCAAATGTGTTAAGATCCATTACATGCAGATTACAGATCTGTAAATATTCCATGCTGTGCAAAGGTTTTAGGCAATTTAAATGTTACTCTGGATCACATGAAGAGATAGAAGACACAGAGACAGCCTAAACCATGGAAGAACTGTGGCAGCCTCAACCACTAGCATGTCAGGACTGCCATTCTTAACTGTGAATGACTGACAGAGACCACATACTGACAGAGTCTTCTACTTCATGTACCTGGTGTGGAGGGAGCAACACCAGTAGGTGACACGGCTGAGGCAGCAGGAGTCACAGGGGTGGTGGGAGCCTGAGAGGAACTCAGTCTGGGAGCACCGCCCGATGAAGGAGTGGCTGCTGCCGATTGGCTACGAGAGCTAGGAAAGAAGGAGAGGGGAACGGAGTTAAGGAAAGAAAAAGGGGTCTCACTGTGGTTTATGATCATGCATTATCTTACATCTGCTATATAACAAATTATTCTGTGAGGATGGCAGCGATGTGAGCTTATCTTGATGTATTTCTCGTGTTCAGTCTCACCTGGATGAGGAGCTACTTGTGGCTGGTCCTCCACTGCCCAGCAAGTTGGCAAGTCCTGGCCCTGCTAGAGCTCCCAGGCCTCCTTGGACAAACACAAACAAATTAAAAAACGTCCAAATTGTTCTGAAATTCTTATTTTTTTTAAGGAGTTGATTTTAACACATTATTTGGTTTGTTTTTTAGAGTTACTTCCTGAAAAAGGCTTTCCTTCTCATTACAATCACCTGAAAGTCTCTGCTGTGGCAAGCGTGAGAGATGATTCACACATACACATAATTTAAAAAAAACCTTGTGCTGCTCACCCAGTCCACCCAGTCCCGTTGGTCCAATCAGCTGCATCAGCTGGTTGTGGCTCATGTTTCCCAGGAGGTTTTGCAGGCCCCCTTCTCCTCCGAGCGCAGAAAGCTCATGGCCACTGCCACTTCCGCTGCCTGGTGCGCCAGGGATCGGTGGGTTGTTCAGATACTCATTCACCTTGCGACAGTGCTCCTCATCCTTGTCTGTCTTTGGCTCCTGAAGGAAAAATAGTCACAGAAGAAATGCTTGAAATCTGAGCTAAATTCTCCACTGACCATATGAACAGGCTCAGTTCTGTCTGAGTTATTCTTCTGTGGTGAGTGACAAGGAAGATTTGACATAAAAAAAAAAGAAAAAAAAAAGAAAACAAAGCCAAAAAAATCTACTCTAAATATAAATTATTTGTGCTTTTTTAATTCATAAACCACCTAATTCTACACACATCACTGAAAATTAACAGATTGAAAAAATATGTATCAACTATCTTAGAGTTAGGCAATACTGATACTAGCATTGGAAATGCCTCCAATACTGCCTAAAATACTGGATTGCATATCAGCGAGCACATCCAGTCTGTGCACCCATTCGATACCACGTCATTTATTAATAAACTTAATAATATCACTCTTGGATAAAACGGCAGTTTTCCTAGAAATCAGTTACTTTTCGCTGCTCTAAAACAGTAGCTTACAGAGTAAGTTGCCCTCTGCAGCCACTGGCAACCAGTGTTTTAAAGCAGTGAAGACAGTCAAATTATATAATAAAAGAAAAATTCTATGGCATTCATGTATTTGTTCATGTTCATCCACAGGAGGACACAACCTTGTTTATTTGCCTGCAAAAAATTTAGTCGGGCTTTCACAGTATGAAATTTTCACTACATGATTATCGTGGCCAAAAGACTCCACAATAATGATGTCGCAATATCTATGGAAATTTAAAATAAATAAATAAATTATGATTGTGTGTTTTGTCTCTTTTGGCAAATAAATTACACTCAAATATGAGTAGGAAGGTGGAGAGACTGTAAGCATAACTGTACAAAAGTACACTTAATGGACAGTGAAAAGGCAACAAGATGAGCTGATAAAAGATCCACAACGACTAACATCTGTCATTACCATATTATCATGTGTATTAATATTTAACTTTAAATATTACAGTTGTTGGCAATAATGGTATATCACAATGCCTCTACTCTGGACTGGAGCAGATAAAGGAGAAAACTATTAGATGTGTGGCTGCCTGACAAATATACTAATAACAGCCATGCACACCCTGTCATCATGAGTATAACAGTCTCTTTTGTTCAGCTCTCTTTGCCTCCCACTTCAATTTTCCACTGAGTTTCCCTGTATTGAACATCCATCTGTCTGCACACAAATGGACACAGATGTCCCGCATTCACACAGACAGACTCCAGTTCTTCTCCTTTTAAAAAAGATGAGAAGCATCTTCCTCTCACCTGCATCCAGAAGAACAGTCTCTTGGATCCAGCTTTAAACTTCAGCACATAGACACGCCCAGTGGTGCATTGGTTCACCCTCTTGAATTCACAGTCATCAGGAAAGATGATCAGGTCCTGGAACAGAAAAGGCACAGCATAAGACACACAAGAGAGACAGTGGAATAACAGTGAGGTTGCTCTGACACAACAAATTATCATCAGCCAGTTACAAAAAGGGAAATCAAGGCAGCAGCAACACCACTGCAGTTCTGAAAATAAAGACACGGTCACCTTGCTTGCTCTGTGGAAGGCCAGCTAAATTAGGATTCAATGTGTCAGCACTGGTTGTATAATCATTGCTTGTATGTGCAAATATATAAAGAAGAGAAATAAGCAAAATGAAAAACTGAGGTAAGTTTGTTTTTTTAAAAAGAGTTCTGTCACTGCCCTCATTTTATTTGTGGTATCTGGAATGTACAACATGGCTGAATGTAGTAACAACTATTGTCACATTGATTTTCAACAAAATGTGACCAGTTGTCTTCGATGATTATTTCCATATGAACACTCAGGGACAGCCCAATTGCAAGCCCGCACCATGAGGTACAAGTTTGAGTATTATTCTTGTAGACTGATCTGCTGAGTTAATTAAACATTTTTATGGTTAACGGGATTGACATGTAACATGAAGTTACTAGTTTAGAGGTAACTCACATCATCAACATTCCCAGTCGTCCTGTCCTTCCAGCAGAAGTGAATCAGGGAGTCATCGGACTGCTGGATGTACACCATGCCCTTGCGTTTATCTGGTGTCACTACGTTCCCCTTCAGGGTCATTTTACCAGCACGAAACTCCACTAGGTATTTGCTGGAGCTTCCCCTGGAGCCGCTCACCAAGCTTGGAAAGAGAGCACCTGAAGACATCTTTAGACCACTTTGTGGACTAGGCTGAACACTGGAGGAAAAGAAAAAGTTATGAGGTTCACAAGACCATACATGCATATAACTGTGGCATGATTGTTATTGATGTGAGTAACGAAACTGCAAAAAGGAAGAAACATAAAATGGAACATTTAATGATGTAGGACCATTTCTGTTCAGGAATTTAAACATAAACACACAGCAAGTATGTGTAGTACACACACACACATACATACATATATATATATACATACATAATATATTATTATATATATTATATAGTATATATAATATAACATATATATATATATACATTAACATACATACATATATATATATATATATATATATATATATATAGTAAAAGAAGTAAAAGATTTTAGAAAACATAACTAATATGTACATGCAGGTAGGTGAAAAATTTAGATGCATACATACAGCGATGAGAAACTGGACAGCAGAAAAAATAAATGATAATATAATAACTAACTTAATACACTAGATAGTTATGTGCAGTATGTGTAAGTATACATGTCTAAGAACAGTAGCCTATATATTGCCTGTTTGCGTTTATACTTAACAAGTGATAGATGACATATACACTGCACAATGTGAGTTTTAAACTAAAATCAATATGATTTGTAGGTAAAGTGGATGTTTTAGTACTTTGAGTAAATACACTGTTATAACCCTTAATACGTGACTCCACTACAATGAATTCCACTTGAAATACTGAACTTTACTTCTACTTTTCAAAGCAATATGTGCCATCGTTCTGATTAATATAGGACATTTGGCTTCGAATATATAGTTTGACCCAGACATTCATATTTGATAAACAAGTTACACAAAGGACCGCCATTAACTTCAATTAACTTTTCAGTCTGGCCAAGACAAACTGAAATCTTAAGAACATTTTGACATGAACTCAGAGAGTTAGCTGCTATAGTGTAGATTGAAGGCTCAGCAATAAGTGCTTCACTGTTTGTTATTTTTTCTTTTAGTTCTCCCGGCGATTTAACATTGCATTAACACTGTAACTATAACAGTGATAGTGGTGTCCGATCCAAAAGTTTTACAAATGTGAAGCAGTTTGTTTGTGTAACAAAGAGTTTTCTAAGCGAAGCTAACAAAAGTAGCAGTTAGCCTCTTAGCCGTGCTGAGTTTTGGCTATGTCAATGCTAACGTTAGCCCATGACTAGGCTAAACTGACAAGCGAACAAGGCCAAAGTCTTACAATTTATCTATCTAAAGTCAATTAAAATGTAGAAATAACAGTCAATTTTGTATGCACGTCCCCTTTAAGTAGCTATATGTGAAAGTGGCTTTTACAAAAGAATAATAATCACATACCTGAAGTTGTGATAGCGGAGATAAGTTTTTCTTCTTCACGTCGCTCGCTAGTAACGTAACTGATTTCCTCTTATGTAGTGAGCGCGCCTGCTGTCAGCGTGAATGCGCACAGGGAGAGTGGGAGGGTTTCCGCGCGACCGCTGAGCCTGGATTGACAGCTTGTTCTTCCCCAGTGTAGCTGTTAGCTCCGTGCCTGCCGTGCCGGCTGTTTGAATGGTTTAGCGGCGGACAGGAAAGCTGAACTGGGATGAGAGTTCTATAAAACTCGCTCCGCTTAAAAAGAAGAAGAGGAACCAGACTGCCCGGGGTTGAAAAAAGGTAAGAAACCGTTACCATTAGGCAGTGTGCTAACATTAGCCAGCTTTGCTGCCCTTGGATTAGTTAGCGAGCTAAGTGCTAGCTGGCTTATTCAAACCAGGCATATCGCTCCGTATAGGCGAGGCTATAGACGTGCTAACCAACATGGATGCTGTGTGTGTTCCTTTGATGCGGTGCCTGGAGATTATCCGCTTTAACCACGGTTTGATTCCCGAGCCGACCGGTATGTTCTAGTTTCGTTTCGAGTCACAAAATGAATGCCATATATTACCATCTGTGAGGGCAGGTGGACGCTGGATTCAGATCCCGGGGCGTCATATCGATTATTTTGCCCTGAAACGTGACTGATTTAGTCAGTCTTGAGTAAAAACAGTGAGAAGACACCACAGGGTAAATCCGGATTTGCAGTCTGTAGCCAAGTGAGGGGCCAATGTGTTTTTGATGTTTGAAAATGTTGGAGAGCCAGGTTTAACTCTTCCCCTGTAAGTTGATCAATAGCCTGTCACCATAATAGGAAGGCTATTAAAGAAAAAACAGCTAAGTGCTCTAAATTATTTCCATTGTATTGTTTTAATGGGGCAGTGTCTATTATTGGTTTGCTTACGAGCGAATCTGAAATAGTTGGAGTGGAGCTGCTGTCTTTTTCTGTCCTCATGTGATGTGTACATGGAGTGGCAGGTGGTGTTACAAACCGGTTGACCGTGTGTGCATGTGTGAGAGGGCACTCATGTTTATGGCAGAAGATGATATAAACATTTCATAATCATAACTTTATTATACAGTTGTGGTTTTGACCCTGGTCAGCCACTGGTTAGGGTGTAGGGTTAGCTGCAGTTGTAATGTTTTTAACCATATTGCAGCTCAATCCTTCAATGAAATCATGTTGAGCATCAGTTCTTCCACCTTAACATGCAGCAGTGACTCTGAACACAGACCATGAAAAACTTGTTCCATAATAAGTGTGAACCAGATAAAAAAAAATGTTATCATTGTATAGGGATTATTATTATATAATGCATTTTCTCCATTATGGATATTAAGTTGCTTTGGCAGATTTTAGTGGAACAGTCTGATGTTGTGATGTTGCGCTGAAGTTCTGTATATGCATAGTATTGGAATTGATTGATAATCAGTTGTGAGATCCAACATTACTTACTTACAGTATATGTCTAATTTTGGATTTCTTCTTTTTGTGATGATTTCCTCAGGGAGCATGCCACTGAATTTAACTGTCAAACTAGCAGGAGAATAAAAGGAGAATAAAAGTAGAACAAGAATACACTTAAACATTATGTTGGAGTAGAGTCAACATCAATTAAAGAGCTGATAAGAGTACAGTCATTTGGCAACTGGAAATCACTTTGTCTATTTTAAGACACCATGACCAGCGCTGTGATTAAGATAAGCTTTCAGTAAAAAAAAGAGTTTTCTTTGAAGGCAGTTTTCTGATGTATTTTAATAGTTAGTGAAGAAGAATAATGTATCAGCATCAGCTGCACAACCTACTGAACTGCTAGTACCTGAGGGTGTCCTAGAGAAATCTAATTACATAGAATGACCTGTTGTACATACGTTTGTATTAATGCTTGCTCAAAAGTAGTAGATATTAATATCACTAGAAAAAAATAGCTGTGGTTGTGCATTTATACTCAAATGACTGAGTACCCAATCTCACAGTTGTTATCTTTGCACACAAGCCTTTTTTAGAGAATGACATTATCAGGGACAGTGCAAAACTATTTTAACAGACATCGTAATTCAACCATAGTGAATTAAGAGGCATGATCACTTATTTAAATACATTATGTTTTCACTCTTAAAGTGGTTAAATAACAAATAAATTGCATCAACTGCAAGGAGTGTCCTTTTCCTTTAAACAGTCATATCTGAGTCATTTTCATTTTACAGTATGTGGAGGAAACATTTGACCAAATCATATTATTTTTCTGACTCAGCTGGTCTGTGTGAGGGTTGAGTGAAAGGCATCATGGTGGATGATGTCATTAGTGTGAGCTCTGGTACGAGTGGTCATCAGTGACTCATATAAAAGCCAGTCACATCAAATCAGGTTACAGAGCAGTAGTAGGTCAGAGAGGGAGATTATCACCGCAGCCACACTGCAGTTACACTGAAAGGTAAATGTGGTTCAGTTCGCTGGTAAGAACTATGGCTGCAACAAACGCCTTTTTTCAATTATCAATTTTTCTGCAGTTTATCTATTTAATCATGTATTTGATAACTTGATTATTGGCATAGTCTATGAATGTTACAAAAAAGTGAAAAATGTCTGTAACAGTTTCCCTGAGTCCTTGGTGATGTCTTCAAATGTCTTGTGTAGTCCAATATTTAATTTTCAATGACCCTTAAAAAATAGCAACTTGTTTCTGGTCTGTTTTTAATTTTATTATAGATACATCATTTACCTAATTCATTATGCCTATTCTTAACTTCTGCAGCTTCATGTAGCTGTGGTGCAGTGTAACAGTTTCCTGTCAGAGTGTCTCTGCTGTGACCCTTGAAAACCTAAAATTATCCCCCAGCTGGGATTCCTACTTTGGCTCACTGGTGTCTGGTATTGATATTTGTATCCTCATACAGAAGGCTGACAGGGTTCATATTCAGTCTCTGACATCAGAATAAAAACAGTTGCAGATGACTGCAGGACCTGAGCTTCACACACTTTAGATAGATTGATCCTAATTTTGCATATCAGTTGATGAGAAAGAGACCAGCCCAGTATTTTTTATTGTATAGTGATATGCTCATATGCAATGTTGCATTTTGTAAAGAGAGTCATTGCACAGGCTCACAGAAGGGTGAACACAGGGGCTGCAACTAATGAGCATTTTTCATTATCGATTCATAGAGTATTTTCTCACACAATCAATTACTTGTTTTGTAAAAAAAATCTCAGAAAAAAGTGAAAAATCCTTGTTAGAATCAGCCCAGCCCGATGTAATATCTCCTAATATCTTCTTTTGTGCGACTAACAGTCTGAAATATTCACTTTAGTATCATGCACTAGAGATCATCTCGCAATGGGATCACACCAACTGCAATGACCGTCAACATGTTGACATTCTGACCCATGGGTGCTCAGTAGTCATTACTACATTATTATGAGTACTCAGTGCTCATGGTTTGGACCACACCCATCTTCAAACTCATCCTTAAAATTTGATCCCAACTACAGAACCTGTAAAGTTTCATGACAGTTGGGACACTATCGATCTGACGAAATGTGTCCACCGACAGTCAGACATATTAACACCTACCAAAGTACTCAAACCCACCTCTGTGATAGTTTCCGTCACAGTATGTGTTTCCAGGACCACATTTTGCCATGATGACACACACACACACACACACACACACACACACACACACACACACACACACACACACACACACACACACACACACACACATGCACTGTGATTGTTTTTTGCTGGTTTATATCTTTGTGAATTAAATATCTTTAACTATTGGTTGCACAAAACAAGCAATTTGAAGACAACACCTTGAGTCCTGGGACCTTTTTGCATATAAAAAGATAGTGTAGTTATTTTCATTATAATCTTATTTTTGTATGTGACTTTATAAATATGTGTAGTTTAGATAAAGCAACCATTCATCTTTGCAGGTGTTTTCCTACTTCAGAGCTGCTGACATCCAGATGAGCTTACCTAGGCTAATCTTACCACACTATAAAAGCAGGTCAGTTTTTCTCACTGTAAGTAAAGAAAACGGTAAAACTGCCCTTATCTACAGGTGTATATATCCTAATCAGAGCAACCACAGATCCCCTGAAGGAAAAACACAGTTAAGTTTCCCCTTTGAACCAGAGATGGTGGCTACTAATAGCCCCAGGTCATGAGTCTTGTCATGAGCGTGTCCTCTAGATAGTCCTGTGATCACAAGTCACACGGGGCTGTCAAATATTCACCTTCACTGTCCCCTTCTCCTGCAGCTTCACACTTTCTGTCTCCTTTCCTCTCCCAGCCTGAACCAGTTCCTTCTTTTTTTTTCTGTCACTCCATCTCTCACCCAGCTGTCTCCCCTCTGTCAGCCTCTGTTGTTCCACCCTCATCCTCCTGACTCCCCCACCCTGTCCTCACTGTCATTCCTCTCCTCCCTGTCTGAGCTTCAACAGTGATTTCACATAGATTTGCTCTGGTAGATCATGGATGTGCTGTACAGTGTTTTCTTTTTCGTGACGATGAGTTCCGTAGTGAAAGTAAAAGCATGACAAGAGAAGCTGTGATGTGAGAGTTTCACTGCAAACCTGTTAATTAGCATTAATTTGCCCAGAGACCCTATTTTATCAATATCAGAATAAACAGCACTATTTTTAGCAGTGCAGGCTTCACAATTACACCTGAGCTGAGCGGTACAACAGCACTCTAGTTGTGGAGCACTGAGCGGGTCTGCCAAGCAGTCAGTCATACACACCATGTCTTGCCCAGGGGTTATCTCAACTGTTGGAGAAGGTAATGGTGGTTTTCATTCATCTCCTCTGTTCAGGTCTTCCCAGCTGTTTTTAGTATTTAACCTGAAAACCTTGTTGAAATAACAACTCGATCAACTGAAGAGATGAGTCGATTGTACTGCTGAAATTATCAGTTGATTAATCAATTAGTCAAATTGTTTATAAATTGTGCTCATTGGTCTTAACATCCTGCAAACCTGCTAGAGCTGCACCTAACCATTATTTGCATTATTGATTATTCTGTTTGATATTTTTTCTATAATTATATATTATAGATTTTATATTAATTAATTATTCATTTAGTCTATAAATGTAAAAAAAAAAAAAAAAAAAAAAAAAAAAAAAAAAAAAATTGAAAAGTGCCTATTAAAATTTCTCAGAGCCTAAGTTGGCATCTTCAAATAGCTTGTTTTATCTAAACACCTGTTCCAAATATAAAAATAATAAAACAGTAACAGAGAAAAACATCAAAACGATTAGTTGAATGGTTTCAGCACTGAAACAAACCAAA